TAGCACCGATAACCTTTCTGAGTAATGCTATACCCTAAAAAGACACATAGGACACAACGAGAACTAAGCTTAGAGCACTCTTGTTTAGGAAGGAGCACAAAGCATGCAGAACCGAAAATACGAAAAAGAGAATAATTGGGAGTAACACCAAAAAGATGCTCATACGGAGATGAGCTTGAGAGAAGAGTAGGCATTCGATTGAGAAGATATATAGCAGTAAGCACAGCTTCTCCCCAAAAAACAGAAAGGACAAAAGACGAGAGCAACAAAGAGCGAGCAGTATCAAGGAGGTTGGGATGTTTGCGCTCAACTCGACCATTTTGGGTAGCGGTGTCAGAACATGAAGATTGATGAATAGTGCCATGAATAGTTAAAAACTCCTCAAACTCAGACAAGTAATACTCACCCCCCAAATCAAAACAAAGAACTTTGATCGTGATGGAAAATTGAGTGCGAATCATGGAGTGAAAATTAGAATATATTTTGTAAAAATCAAATTTTTGGGTCATCAAATAAACCCAAGTAAATCGACTATAATCATCTACAAAAGACACATAATATTGCAAACCACCCTTGATAACTATAGGAGAAGGACTCCAAACATCAGTACGAACCAAATGAAAATGAGAAGAAGAAATAGAACTACTTTTATTAAAAGGAAGAGCAGACATTTTAGCCAATTTACAACCTCGACACTCACGCATATTGTCAATGGGAAAACTACCTAAATGTCCAGACCGAACTAACATCCTCAAATGGTCACTCGACATATGACCTAACCTGGAATGCCAAATATAAAATAAAAAAGACTTATTATTTAAACAAAAAGAAGACAATGTAGTAGAAGACAATTCTGGAGGAACATGCAAGCTGTCCAAGATGTACAATTCTCCAACTCTACGCCCAGTCCCAATCTGCCTCTTGGATACCTGATCCCGCACAACATAATAAGAAAAAGAGAAAACAAGATCAAAACCAGAATCAGATAATTGACTAATAGAAATAAGACTGTGAAAGGTGAGGCACATAAAATACAGGAGAAAGAGACAAATGGGAAGAGGAAATAGAACCAATAGAGTGTACAGGCATAGAAGAACCATTAGCAGTAGCAATAGTGATAGAAGAAGATGGACAGACACAATTACTAAGGAGAGATGCAACAGTGGTCATATGATGTGAACAACCAAAATCTAAAATCCACGAAGCGTGGATATTACCTGAAGAAGATGAACCAGACAAACTTAACTGAGTGTTAGTCATAGCGGAGGCCTGGGACGAAAGATTTGGATTAGCCACCATGAAAGACTTGAACTGCTCAAACATAGACTGCATATTAGAAGATGGCCCATTCTCAGAAGCTGGTGCAGAAAAGGCGACAGATGAGCGAGATCCCGAAGATGGCGACTTAGAAGATGGTGGACCAGACGAACGACCCTTGGGCTACAAAAGTTTAGGACAAGCATGTTTCCAATGGCCTCGCTGACAATAGAAACTGCACTCATCCACGGAAACCCGAGACTTAGGCTTACCAGTAACCTAAAATAAATGAGATGATGGGGTAGGCAAGAGCGGAGAAGTGACAAAAATTGATTGGGAGGCAGGAACACCATGAGCCACCTTAAACCTAGTTTCTTTCGCAATAAGCTCACGAATAACACCATCAATAGAAGGTGAGGGGGACCGATGAAGAATAGCTCTCCAAAGTGGCTCAAATTGATCACGAAGGGCTATAAGAAACTGAACAAGGTGTTGCTTCTCCTGATACTTGGTATAACTGTCAAGTAACTGCAAATCTGCTGGTTCCATTAAAGCAAGCTGATCCCAATAAGTTGTCATCTCATTGTAGAACTCCTTAATGGACTTATCTTTTTGACTAGCACTGCGAATAGACATCTTAAGTTCATACGGTTTTGCAAAGTTAGACTCAAGGTACATAGTTTTCAAATAGTCCCAAACTTGTTTAGAAGTAGAATACTTGGAAAAATTCATACCAATGGTAATTTGAACTGAATTATGAAACCAAGTAAGAATTTATGCATTTTCCTTATCCCATTTAGAAACATCAGCCTCAGTTTCTTTAGATTCCACAGGTCTAATAGTTACACCAATAACATAGTTCCACATGCCTTTACCCATTATAAAATTCTTCATGACATGAGACCAATAAGAATAATTGATACTATCTAACTTAGTAGTGATAGCTTGCAGTTTATCATCAGCCGTATTTATAAAATTCAATTCACTATTCGAACACGTATCAACAAATATCCCTCAAATTTTCCTCTATATACAATCTCTATATCTTACCAAATGCTCATAAATAACAACTCAAATTGATAGAGGAAGTGAACAGTACCAGAAGAAGGAGGAAGTCTAGAGACGCTATTTATCAACACAACCGTAGGGTTTCGAACACAAAATTCCAAGTAAACCCTAGTACATGATCAGACCACCCTGAAGGCTGAAGAGGGAGAGGAGTCACAAACCACTTGCAAGAAGAGAGAGAGTGATGTCAATGATCGATGATGCAAGAGAAGTCTAGAGACAGACCTGCGATGCACTGGGATGGACAGAAACAATGCCTGGGATGCGAAAGAGAGCCCTGTGATGCGAGAGAGAAACAGAAGTAGACCTGCGATGTGCAACGTCTAATGACAAGAATAACCTAGGTTTGATCACAACTTTGCTCTGATACCATGATAAAAGAGAATGAATAGAAATCGTGTATATACTTATAAGCTAATAGAATAAAACCCTAACAATCTAAAGGACTAAACTATCCTTAATGAACAATAAAGCCAACCCTGTGGTTATCTCTAGTAAAACTTTGTCCCTTGTTTTCTAGTCCATAACCTTTTTTACCCGTTTTCTTGGAAAAGATAGGAATCCAAGGAGTCATGTTGCCTTTAGAGCAAAACCCACAAAGCTAAACAAGATTAACATGTTGGTTAGAACCAAGCATGCTGACTTTTGCTTGAACTTCTTCCCTTGGTTGATGCTTTCCAGCTTTCTCCGCGACTATGATAATGGAATCAAGCAATGTTCCTTCAAAAACATAACCAAAACCTCCTCTTCCAAATTCTAGTTGAAATTTTTTGTTGCATTTTGGTTTTGGAGATTTTGAGAAAGATGATTGATAGAATGGGGCAAGGTGGTTTTCTTTAAGGATTTTGAGATTGGAAAAATTGATGGCTTCATGCTCAGCCTCTTATCTTCTTTATGCTAATGTTACTGTTTTTTGTTACAGGGTCAAGCCTCAATAGTTAGGTTATCTTAGTTGTGTGATGTTGGAATGTGTCTCACTTCACCTGGATTTGTGCCATCTGTGCTGGTTATAAGACTCCAAGTTCCCTCTCCTTAATACCTAGATTTTAAGAAGTGTGGGCTAAACATTTCAATTTGGTATCAGAGCTTGGTTGGGCATGTGACTAGTTATAAGGCTCTAATACCAAATTGAAAAATTTAACCCACACTTCTTATTAAAACCCAAGTATTAAAGAGAGAGAAATTAGAGCCTTATAACCAGACAGATGGGGCAACTCCAAACAATGCGAGACACATTCCGACACACCCTTATAGACCACAACATACAATAGTCGGACAAATAGCATACCAGTCGCAAGCCCAACCAAGCTTTGATACTAAATTAAAAAGCCCAACCCACACTTCTCCTTAAAACCCAAGTATTAAAGAGAGGGAAACTGAAGCCTTATAACTAGCACAAATAGGGCAACTCCAAACAATGTGGGACACATTCCAACGCACCCTCTTGGACCACAACATATAGTAGTCGGACAAACGACACACCAGTCATAGGCCCAAATAAGCTTTGATATCAAATTGAAAAGCAAAGCCCACACTTCTCCTTAAAATTTAAGTATTAAGAGACGGAAACTAAAGCCTTATAACTAGCACAGATGGGGCAACTCCAGGCGATGTGTGCTTCTATGCTCTGAGGTCATCTTAAGTTTGAAAGTGAATTTGGGGGAATACAACCTTATTCTGGTCAGGGAGGTGCCTCATGTTGCAACCGTGGCTAACATCCTAGGTCGTAAAGTGGAGCATTGACCTTCTTATCTAAGACTTCCTTCAGGAGCCACTTTCAGAGCAAAATCAGTGTGGGATTCTATGGTTTAGAGATTTCAGAGGCAGTTGGCCAGCTAGAAGAGCCTATATCTATCTATCTAAAGGTGATAGATTAACATTGAATCAAAGCATCTTGTCCAGTCTTCCCAATTATTTTATGTCCTTATTCACTATCTTAGCTTTAGTTGTGAAAAGGTTGGAGAAATAGCAACATGACTTCCTTTAAGGAGGTATAGAAGAGGAATTTAGGTATCATTTGGTAGATTGTTAGACTGTGTACCACCTAGAGAGAAGAGGGTGTAAGTATTCGCAAACTTAACCAAGATGCTCGTGATTTAATCATTGATGTAATTAGAGAAAGGGACAACAACATCATATAACTTACATTACCTTCAATAACTAAAATCGAGAAGAATAAGCTTCTTGCCATCTCATGGTCATTCATCACCATCCTTTTGTACAAGGAGTTGCAATAAAAGTCATGTAAAAAGTGTATTTGTCACCATCAACAATGCAACTAGGTGGTGATGGTGTAAAACTCAATAAGAAACTTCAAATGACCCTATACTTGAATTGCAATACCATGACATGACATACATAAACAGTGAGATGGTTAATGCAAACCTTTTGAGCCCAAAGTGTAATAGATGTAAGACATAGGCACTGTTTGGTAGGGTTTATTTCCAACTTATTTCAACTTTTAGCTTAATTTAAGCTATTTTGATGTGTTTGGTTTAGCGTAACAATACAGCTTATAGCTTTTCATAAGTCAAAAATCAACTTATTCTTTGAGTGGCGGAGGAGAAGCTTAATTTATAAGTCAAAAATCAACTTATGTTCACAGCTATAAGCTATAAGCTGTTAGGCTATAAGTTATAATCACTTTCCCACAGCTCTACCAAACGGGGCCATAATAAGGCCCAATTATAAACCTTAAGATTCATATCCATTCTGATAGTCCGTAGTATCAATCTGTGCACAGTTCATAACTCTTCCTGAAACAAGAGTACCCCCAAAGCCATATTAGCTATTAACTACAGAATATTAAATAGGAAAAAAATGTAATTTGTTATACCTGTAATTTCACTGAATTTCAGAACTTTATACAGGTATTCTCAGATGAAGTAGCATACTCAACATTAGCCATTTAGTTTCAGTGTAACATAATGCCAAAATTCAACTCTTAACTATTCAAGTCAGTCAAGTTCCAATATTTTTGCACCACGCCTTAGTCGTCTCAATATACTAACTCTACTCACATGAACACCTAAAAAATCATATTTCTTGCTTCTTTTCATTCCAGCTTCAGTAGAATTATCACTTCGAATAGTAGATTTGTTAAGGACATCTTTAACTCTTTCATGGCCTTTTCTCATAAAATTCTGACGTAAACCTTGTGACTGTAGATTTGCTCCCGGAAGGCGGCCAAAATAGTAAAGAGGATCAACATAAGAACTTGAGGAAGACACAATACCTTTCAAGTTGGTTGGCTGGACAAGCTTAACAAACTCCTTTATCTCAGCAAAGCATGAATGATCAGAACATGGAACTTTATATATGTATTCATGATAACTTTCCACAGTTCTTGAATTATCATTAGGTTTATGCATATCTGTGTGGCTCCCAACTTTCGTACTCAATTTGCTGCTGCTATGGCGAGAAGACGAACCAAAAACATTGGTGTTCCCTTCAAGGGGTTTCCATGGAAGGCCAGATGGCATAATCCCTATAGTTGGACATATCATATTTAACCCCTCCAGTGTGTCGATACTAAAACTGTAGCGAGGGACAGCTCGCACTCTTGTTAGAGATACTTTAGTTGTGAAGATGTCGTGGAACCCAAGAAGATGCATAATTTGCAGGCATTTTGGCCAGACCCAAATATTTAAAGAACAAAACAAGAAAATATAAGGAACTACCGGTGATAGCTCATAAGATTACTTATATACATAAAAGAAGGATAAAAATGATGTTATTTCCTTTCTACCACACCAAACTTCTTTTTCGATGAAAAAATGAATATACAAGTCTTCATGACTATGCACATTATTACAAACCAGAAAAACAACATTAAATTTAAAATGCGGTAGGCTGCATCGTGTATGACATCACATGACACGAGAGTGCAAAAGAATCACTAATTTTTAGTGTAAGCTACCAGCATTGTAGGCTTACATGTAATGCGCAAAAATAGTCAAACAGATGAAAGTATAAACTCTCCAGATTACAGTATTATGTAACCTATACCATATAGAAATAGAAAACATGCAGAACATTGGGGGAAAAAACAAGTAGGTATTGTAACCTATAAAATATAGAAATAGAAAGCATGCAGAACAGAGGAAAAAAATGAGTAGGTCAATTAGTTCCAATCTTGAACTAATATAAACAAATTATGGTATTTCTCCAGTACCTGCAGATTAATTTTCTGAGATAGTTAGCTCTATTTTCCCTAAAACTTATATTATAAATAAATAAATAACCAACAAAGTTGATGTGAAGAGCATCTGGGTATGTTCACATTATTCTAAAAGCAAGTTTGGGTCGCCATTCTACTGTATACACACTGCAAAGGTTACACTTTGCATAGAGACAACCCTAGTTGACACTTTTCCTTTCAGTAAAGAGTGTGCACACCTTTATTTTCAGCGCTTGTGCAATGTGAAGTAAAAGATCTTCTTTTCCCAAAGAGTCTATACCGATAATGATGTCATGTTCAGGATGAGAGGCAATCACATCAACAACCTGTAACTAGTCCTAAAAATGTAAATGAACAATTTCCATATACATAATCAGAAAATGAAGTTCAACAGCGGATAAAACCAAGCTCCATTCAAAGAATGAAACTTATGTTTGCAACTATTATTCACAGTTGGAAATTTCAAGAAACAAGTAAATAGACATGCTAATCATTTTTTTTCATCCACATATTGTTTGAAATAGAGAGAACTCAGAACATATTGTGCCTATTTCTAAGATTCTTGACATTTTTACTTTAGTCTGATGAAATCATGATGAAAAGTTGAAAGTAATTTAATTAAAGTACTTAGAGAAATTTTCTTTCAACAATTAAATATCCAATAAATTTAGTTTTTTTTTTCTGATATTGATCATGTACCAACAACACATTTCTATTAGCATTATAAACATTTTTTTACATTCTATCCTGCTAAAACTCCACTCTCCTTAGATTTAAGTTTATTATATTTTATTCTTTTTCCTCTCAAGGAAACTTTAAATAAAATATATTGGAAAAGTTGCTTAATTCATCTTTTTGGAACGAAAATGTACCACATTTTAGAATGTGAGTTCTAATACGTACATCACTAAGGTATCATCATTTTTTGGTGACATTGCTCCTAGTCATATGGTGCTAGCTAGTGCCACATGTCAGAGTGGATCAATAGCCTAAACATCTCTTTAATGTCTAAAATGCCTAAAATTGAAGCCAAGATTCTAGATTGCCTCACTTAGACTAACCAAGATCTCTATAGGTTGCCTCACTCGCTTGGTCAAGATCTCCCTAAGCAGTCGCCGTAAACCCATCTCCAATTGTGAATTCCATGACTTCTCCAACATGTCTATGGTCTCAAAACAAGCTACCCAGGTTGGGGGTAGGGCCTAGGATTGTTGCACAAGATCATTGAAGGATCGTGGCTTCGAGACTAGAATCAACGGACTGTTAAGGGTCCTTTACCATACTGATTGTGGTACTCCCCTAACCAGCCTTAATAGACAGAATTGTTAACTGATCAAAGACATATGAATCTAAGAAGCACAAACACAAACAAACTCGGCAATTTTCAAAAAATGCAGGACACAACATGTGGAAGACACACACAAAATATATAATTTTATATATTTATTATATGTTATATATATGAATATAAAAGACGCGCACAAAATATATAATTTTATATGTTTATTATAAGTTATATATATAAATATATCATTGAAAAATATTAGAAAAAAAATACAATATAATACTAATTTCAATATATTTGCATTTTTTTTTTTTATCTTGTATCCTAAGTTATTTTGTTCAAATTTATAATTAGTTTCACATTTCTAACCAATGGACATGTGTGTTTAAGGGATGGACACGTGTGTTCTCCAAGTGTCGAAGAGTGTCCACATCTAAAAAAATTTTAAAAAAATAGTACATGTGTTGACAAGTGTCGGACATGTGTTAAGATGTGTCAGACAAGTGCCAGTGTCCAACATGGGCACGTTAGCTTCTTAGAAGTGTCCGCGCTTCTTGGCATATGATACTCTGATGCCTCTAAGATGCCTTGACATACTAAGGTGAGGAACTACCCTGCACTATTGGCTAAAGAAGGTTGAGGGACATAGATCCCCCATGTCACGGGATCCCTTGTCAAGAGATCCCAAGACAAGCATCTTAGGGCAAGAGATCCCCAATTGTCACATCAAGGAGACCAGGCTACCTATCCTCCCTCAGTTGACATTAACAACCCAAACTCCCTATAAAAGGAGATCTCATGCATATAAGACAAATCAACAACACTTCTCTGCAACATAAGCTCAAAGCTCTCTCCAATACAATTTTCTATCTCCTCTTCTAGGGCTTCCCTTGGCTCTCTTCTTCACCTTGGATATTTTTTGACTTTATTTAACAATAACAAACGACACAAGAATTATTCAGAGCTTCTCACATCAAAAACACATTAGTCAAAACTAGTTAATATGAGGCTGATTAAAATTTTGGTTAAAAAATAAACCTTAACAAATAAGTTAGTAGCTTCCAATTGTAATCAGGGTAGTAGTTTAATTCTACTACAAAAATTTAACTATGGAACTTCCACAAGAGAAGTAAACATGCACCTGTTGAGCAGCAACTTCTCGAGAAGGAAAAGAATATGATGGATTACAGTAAGTATTGTCCAAGTAAAGAATGTCAACTTTATCATTCCCAAGAGCACTAAGAAGCATGCTCCTTCCAATCTCTGCCCTCTTACTAGTTGTTTCCCAGCGAAAATCCCCTGTATAAAGCATGCACCCAAACTCACCACGAAACAAGTACATGACTGCGCCTGTCAAGTTGAAAACCATGAACAACTTAATTATGAAACCCTTTGTCATGATTATTTCCCACAAGAAAGAAAAAGATAGAAGAAATAAAAATCCTTTAGCATGGCAACTCAACCTAACGTAACATATTGATAGATAGGATCAAGCACACAGATAGGCAATCTAGGACAAAATAAAGTAGAAAAATTAAAATTAAAAAGATTAAGCTTAGTAGTAGACTAGTTGCTTTTGACACTTGAAAATTCATTTTTGCCAATTATAATTACCACGGTGGATGTGGTGGCTAAAATTTATATATAAAACTTGGTGGACTTTTAGGAAAACAAAAGTCTCTGACATTTTCGTAGTTGATGCTTTCTTAATAAAACAGGGGAAGCTTTCCAACACTAGAGTTCCCATCTTTATTATCAACCTCGACTAGTTGATATTTGAAAAGAAGACAATTTGTAGAAGTCAATTACACTTAAATATTTGAATTGTTGTCGGTAAAAAAGGGGAGGCATCAAACTAGTGTTTTAACCTTGATAAGTTTTAATCTTAGAACAAAAATTTGTAAGGTTTTTCAATCTACATCAGCAAAAGCTTATGGGGCATATCATAATTTGTGGTTGTTCAGTATGCCAATGGAACCCCTATGGTACTTCATCGCAATAAACTTGAAGTTTCACCTTCAAGTTCAAACAAAAATGCATTGTTTAATTACAATGAATATAGTCGCTAGACAAGATAGAGTCCCCCAGCCAGCTGCCTTCATATAAGATGCCAGCATTGTAGAAGGCTGTTGGTATAGTGCTAGTGCATTGTACTTGTCGTAGGGGACTGAAGCCCTAGTCAATTGAGAGGACCAAGCCCTTTGCCTCACTCTTCCATAGCTACCATGATACTCTCATTTCTAAAGGACATGACTCACCAAGATGAGAAAAGGTTGTCCAAATATAGAGGCAATGACTACCTTTCGAGCTTTCTACTACTAGGCTTCAATTAAGAACAAGGGTTGATTTCATTGAAATCAATTAAAATGCAAAGTGGAAAACATTCTTTCTAACCATACCGCTAAGAAGGCACATTGTTTGATGGAGAAAGATATATATGAGCTAATTGACCTTATATATCTATTCCTAAGTCAATCCCTTGCTTCCCTTTCTCAAGGAGTTCTAAACTAAGAATTGAGGGTTCCAAACCTTGCTCCATATCCATCTAGTCTATCCCTCTTTCCCAAAGCCTTATGGATGGTTTATAATAAAACCAATGTTTGAAAAATACGATTTTCAAAGCCCTAAAGTTACATGATCTATTGAATCTTAGACTTCAAGTAGTTAAAAAAAATTTAAAAGTTCCTCCAAGGTAGATGAATTATATACATGCATATTGTAGACGCGCCCGCGTGAGGCCTTCGTGCTACAGTTCGAACTCGAATTTTCGTCACGGTTCTTAATCTGAACCAAAGAGTCCAAATCCGGCAAATCGTTTTTAAGAAAACAGATTTTGAGAAAAGAAGTGCCAAACATGGACTGCTTTGCCAGATGCAGAGTCACCACCTAAATATTTTTTAATGGGGGGATTTAGGAAACCCTGACTCGGTGCCAAAGGCCACGTGTCCGTCATCACCAAAGTTACCTCGGCTCGGGAACTTGGGTATGATTGGGGAAGGTCAGTTATGAGCACCCCCGCTCGCCCGATCAAAGATCGGCCTCTACTAACCATGATATCTTGTTTTGAAAGCACTATGTGTTCTTATTCCGGTTATTAGCCTAGAATTACTATGTTATGCGCACAGCAAACAAGTATAGACCAAATCGCCTAAATTGGAACAGAACATTGCATGTTTGTTTTGAAAATGGTTTGCTACTCGCAAGTAGGCTAAAATGCAGGTTTGCCACCCTCAAGTGGGCTTTAGAAAAGATGGTTTTGCCACTATCTACTGGGCTTAAAACTCACAGTTTTAGTACATTATTCCAATTTAAGTAACCCAACCTTCACCCACAGGCATTCAGGCAGTTATAACACGTAAGCACATAGCCTCATGGTAAGCATGCTGTCATGGCAAACACTCACACTCATGCAAGATGCTAAAGCATAAAAAGCTTACCTAGTACTCCGAGCCAAAACAAAAGCTAGTTAGTAATCAATGCATGATCCTAGCTCATGTTAAGATGGCTAATGCAACACATACAAGATGCAACTATAGTAGGCTCGGTTATTCTAAGATGGCTTGTGATGATGCTACAACTAACATGTATTCAACTTTGGAATTGAAGTACAGATGCAGTTAGTACGATGCGCCGAGCCTGATGCATGCAATACTGATGAATGGTGCACGCATGCATAGCATAAGGATACTAATTTAAATATGCCCTAATACTAACCATTGAAAGCAGGTAAGTAAAAGGGAGAAAGAAGTGGGGGTTGGAAGACATGCACGCATGCACCCATGCTTATTACAAATATTCCCTCACTCGGAGGGACCGGAAGAATAATACAGTCCGAATAATGAATCAACTATCCTAGCTAATCAATTATTACAAAACTTCTAATTTAATTAACAAAGTAAATATAGAAGCAAGGTGGCCGCAACCCTGCCTCGGAATGCGTGAACAATGCATGTTTGACTCGTCTCGCTCGGAAACTCACTGCCATAGCACTGTTGTCTCTGTTTTCACTGCCCTGCTCCTCTGAAAATTTGCACAAGTCTCAAGGATGCTTCTCTGAACACTGGGGAGCATCACCGACCAAGTGGGAACACCACCGGCCAAAGGGAATGGTCACCGGCTACTGGTTAAGCTATCGGCCACAATTTGTGGTCGACACTCCAAGTAGCTGACCAGCTATTTATTCCTGCAGAATCCTGCAGTTTACAGCAACAGAGGGCAAGCAGTGTATGGCATGGAATTTTCAAGAAAATGTGAGCATGGCCACACTCCCTATCATGCAATGGACTCAAGAAAGCATGACCCTCGACCCTCGGGCCATCAATTACGCATTTTGACGCATGATGGCCTAAGAGGCCAAGTTTGCAACTTCAATGTAAATGCATGCAACAAAAGAGATGAGTGCCTTGCACCCTATCATGCTTGAGGTCAAGGGCATTGGCGACCGAGGAGTGAGACGTGTTTTGTCACTTCGAGTACAAACACACTTCACTCCTCAAGTTTGGTTTTGACACCCCAAACCAAACAATGCAATGCATGTATGCAATGTGGCTTAAGTAGTCAAAAAAAAAAAGGATCAAATATGCAAAATATAATGCAAACTAAACATGCAAGGGTGCAATGTGATGCAACCTATCATACAATGCTATGACATAAAATGCAACTAGCTAAACAACATGCAAGTGTACAAACAAGATACGATGCAAGCACGAAAACAAAATAATGCAACATGATCATGCAATGGTGGACTTGAACCACAAAGGGGCAGACCTCAGCCCAGCCCAAAATAGTGACCAAAAGTAGTGCAAGAGGGCACCAATCATGTGCACAAGTGTAACCAGCCCGCGGGGGACCTCGCTATAGCTCGGACTCGATTTTGTGGTCACGGTTCTAAGTCTGAACCAAAGAGTCCAAATCCGGCAAATCGTTTTGAGAAAAAACAGATTTTTGAAAGAAGTGCCAAACATGGACTGCTTTGCCAGATACAGAGTCGCCACCTAAATATTTTATTTTGGGAAATTTAGGAAACCCTGACTCGGTGCCAAAAAGCCACGTGTCCGTCATCACCAAAGTTGCCTCGGCTCGGGAACTTGGGTACGATTGGGGAAGTCACTTCGTGAGCACCCCGCTCGCCGATCAAAGATCGGCCTCTACTAACCATGATAATCTATTTTTGAAAACATTGTGAGTTTTATTCCGGTTATTAGCCTAGGTTACTATGTTGATGCGCGCAGCATACAAGTATAGACTGAGTCGCCTGAATTGGAACAAAACATTTTATGTTCGCTTTTTTGAAAATGGTTTGCTACCCGCAGGTAGGCTTAAATGCAGATTTTGCCACCTGCAGGTGGGCTTAGAAAAGATGTTTTGCCACTATCTAGTGGGTTAAAACAACATTTGATGAATTGTCTCAATCCAACTAACCCAACTTCACCACAGGCATTCAGGCAGTTATACACATAAGCACATAGCCTCATGGTAAGCATGCTGTTCATGGCAACACTACACGCATGCAAGGATGCTAAAGCATAAAACTTACCAGTACTCCAAGCCAAAATAGAAACGCATTAGAAATCATGCATGAATCCTAAGTATACAGAAATTGCCTAATGCACACATGGCAAAAATGCAACTATAGCAGGCTCGGCTATTCTAAGATGGTATGTGGAATGCTACAACTATCATGTATTCAATTTGGAATTGAAAGTACGATGCAGTTAGTATGGTGCGCTGAGCCCGGTGCATGCGATACAGATGAATGATGCAAACATGCTGTCATACTGTATGCTAATTTAAACATGCCCTAATCTAACCATCATAAGCGGATAAATAAAAGGGAGAAAGATGTGGGGTTGGAAGACATACAACACACTCGCGCACACTTATTACAGTTTTGCCCTCGCTCGGGGGGTCCAAATAAATATACAGTCCCAAATAAAAGAATATTACAGTCCGAATAATATACAAATTCCTAATTAATTAATGAATTAACTAAGAAAGCAAATAAAACTGGCGTGCAAGCCCGGGACTGCCTTACTTCTGATGAATGATGCATGTCTGGGCTGCCTTGCGCGAAAATCCATCGAGATGCCCCAATTAGCCTCTGTTTGGCAGTTATTCTTGGAAAGCGTGCCAAACTCCGAAAAGTTGTTGATTCTTCATTTTGCTGCAACAGAGAGCAGGAAAGGGGCATAGCAATTTATTTTCACAAATATATGCATGTCTCGATCCTCGTGCCACCAATCACGCACACCGAGGCATGATGGCCGAGGAGTCGAAATACACAATTCAATATAGGATGAATGCACACGAAAACACAGCTAAAACCTAACTCCATCATGGATAATCCGGAGTGTTGGTGACTGGGGAATTGAGATACATTCCGTCACCCGGAGTACGAAA